TCGTTTTGTTAGTAAAATGTAGTTGTTATATATAACATAAATTGCACTGTTAAGAAAAATATTTAACTCGGCTATAAAATGCAAATGAAATGATGTAAATAGTATGGACGTTAGAGGTTTAGCTAAAAATTTAAACGATATAATATAGCGTGATTTGTATCTTGTATCTAATTAACAAATTGAAATGTTAAACTCAACGCTAATTGCCTGAATATTTCTTTCTCATACTTGTGTGTAGCCCCACTTACCATAATATTAAACAGTCAGTCCTTAATACATTATTACACTTAATGCAAGCTACAGAAATCAATGAGATCTAGCATTTAGCTATTGTATTGCGCTGATCGAACACATTGGACGTGTCCATATTATTTATATCGTCAATCGTAATATTTTTTGGCGCCTTGTAATTGTTTCATAAATATAGAGTGAGGAAAACGTTACTTATCTATTAACTATATACATAACACAAACTGATATATACATTATAAGCTTAATATTTTTATTTACCTTGTAGATATGTAATTGCTGGATTCGAATTGTTATTTTTTTAACGAATTATTTACGTAACAATCTGTAAGATAAGTTACTATGTTGTAACTTATCTTACAGATTGTTCCGTAAATATTTGTTGTAATTACTATGTTAATCGGTTTCATACTTTTGTTATGATAAAAATAGTGCACTAATGTAAGTTATTAATTTCGTTACCATTTATGACAATGGTAGAATAAACAACTCAATTCATATTATTATATCAGGCAGTTGTTTATAGAACAGTATAAAAGTTCAGATATGTTTGTATTTTGCAGTTTTGTAAGGAGTTACTGTAGAGGTGTGGTGAAGATGTTTAACAATTACAATGTTTATTACAATGATGTCTTTTATTCGACTTTATGTTGTAATCATTGTAGATAGTAGTTTAATTACATTTTTATTCTCGCTGTGGATTATTCTTCGAAATATTAATTTATTGTATTGTACTTACTGCATGTATTATTTTGTTTATATATCTCCTTACATTTAACCACACTTATGATCAGATACTCAAACGCTACTTAATTTTAAGATGCCGTTAAGTCTCGTGCTGTCTGTATCACGTGGTAGAGCCACGCTGAAGCTATATTATGGTTGTAGCACGAATATGTCGGCACGACCGGGGAAGCACCACGCTCTTACAAAATACCATCGGAAAATAGCAGCTAAATACTGCCGTGTTTCCTATGGTGAGTGTAGAGATCCGGAGATCCCTTTTTTACTGGAAATGAGACATTCCATGTTAGTCCTCAGGGATGACAACGTATCTGCGTTTTGATTCTTAATCAAGGAGTAGATGTCTATTGGCCACAGCATCCACTTATCATCAGGTGGACTGTGTGCTCGTTTGTCACCCTTATTTTATAAAAAAAATCACTAAATCAAAGTGACTGTGACACCACGAGACTTATTTTAATTTGGGCATTGAAGAGGTACATTTTAATATTATTTAATTTGAGCATTGAAGAGGTACATTTTAATATTTATATTTTATTTCTTTTTTGAATCTATAACTCTGAATCGTCTTTTTTAAGTTATTATATAATATTATCTCTTTCCCTGTCGTGTTTGTTTTTACTTTTATATTTGAAATGATTAGTCAAACGCAATTCTTTGTGAATTTTCAGAAAACGTGCGGACGGTGCAGATTTTGAAGGGTTGTTAGAGTGAAAATAAAAATGCTATTTAGTACAATGCACATATATTTTATTTGTTTTTCACTATCGCAACGAATATGATGCATATGCATATGCATAATCTTTTTTAATGCAAAAATAAACTTTGTAAGTTTATTACACATCTTTGAAATAGTTTTAAATCCTTGTGTGTTAAAAATACTATCTATCTAAATATCTAATAACCTTATTATACATATATTTTTATACATTTTTGGCTGGGAAGGAAGTGTATATCTCCCATCCGGGCAAGGTAATCCGGGGAGCGGTGAACAATATATCTGGTGGTTTTGAGCATATTCTATATATACAGAGTAGTTTGGTAACTTCGCTAGCGTGTGGTGACTTCGATCCCTTCACGATTGTGGCGCGACGACAGCGCCATCACCCGTTTCTACTATTGGAATTGATGAAGTAAAACAACTTTGTGTACAACCTGGAGACATTAAACACCTTTGATGACTAAATAGGTATCTATGACTATGTCTCAGTGAGATTAAATCTACCTGGCAACTTACTGAAAAGTTTTATTGAATATCTAGGTTTAAGTATCAGCCATATTTCGTTAAAATTAGATTGTGACAATTCCCTATTATTTCAGGCTGTGCAAGAATGCTTAATATAGTTATCATCATTTAAACCATAAGTAAATATGAGATTCGACTTGTCACCTTTTAAAATAAATGTACATAAATAATTAACATTAAGGTTTTTCAGGCTGCGAATTAAATTAATAAAATTATACTATTTTGCTTTTGCAATGTTAAATAGAAAACTAGAAAAGCAGTCTTCAGAGGCCAATTAACATCAATTGCCAATTCATAAATTCTTTGTATTTTATACAAAACAAATAAAGTAGTATTTTTAAGAGAGACTTGATCACAGCCATGTAAGATTTCATTAATTTATTAAACACAATTTGAATACAAATTTTGTTTAAAACAACCCTGATCACAACATTACGTTTGTGAATAGGACAAATATAATGTCCTTTAGACCGAATTTCGGTCACGGAGGCCAGCCACAACGGAGACTAGCAATCGGCGCAGGACACGATTATAGTGCCCAAATAGACATGTGTCAATCATGAATGATTCGTTCGTTTAAGCTGGTACACTTAAAAGTATTGATTGATTGATTTGATTGATATTGACACAATGGACAGAACGTTTTTAGCTTGTGATTGGTGTGAATTGTGAATGAGTCGAAAATCGACGAATGCCGAATGATCTGATGAACGAATTGTTTTTAGTGTAGGGTTCTGGAGTCCGAAATGACGAATCCGAATCTACCGGTACGCGTGTAAAAATGTACGAGAATGATTCGGTTAAGAGAAATGAATGATTGACACATGTCTATTCCCAAGTGTATATTCGCAAACACAGGTGCACTCTCTATGCCCTTACTTATATATATATATATATATACACAACTGAATTGATAAGCAATATTGAATAAAACTATTATTTACGGATTTTTTCGCGTTTAATTACTTTAATTTATTTTTATTATTATCCCGACGTTTCGGGTGCTTTACAGCGCCCATGGTCACGGGGGGGACTGAGATGTTTGACGTCCCAATGTCATAGTTAGTCCGGCTACCTTCAGTTTTTTAATATTAATTTTTGGTCCGATTTACGCAAAACGAGCTTATAGTATCATGAAGTCTTGCAGTGGTATGCTTGGGTTTGGGTTTAATTTTGTTAATTATAGGATCCCAAGCAGATGGTAGCACCCAACCATCTTCTCTATTGAAATTTGGATGTTTTTTAATTTCAATAGCCTCGCGTATCATCCTTGGTAGGAATCGGTGTTCTTTTGCGAGAATTTGTGGTTTATCAAATCTAATGTAATGGTGGGGACGATCTTGAACATGTTCGCAGACTGCAGACTTCCCGGAGCGTCGGTGCTTCACATCAGCTATATGTTCCTTCACGCGGGTTTTTATAGATCTCTTTGTTTGACCTATGTCTTTGTCTTTGATGACCAAAGAGATCTATAAAAACCCGCGTGAAGGAACATATAGCTGATGTGAAGCACCGACGCTCCGGGAAGTCTGCAGTCTGCGAACATGTTCAAGATCGTCCCCACCATTACATTAGATTTGATAAACCACAAATTCTCGCAAAAGAACACCGATTCCTACCAAGGATGATACGCGAGGCTATTGAAATTAAAAAACATCCAAATTTCAATAGAGAAGATGGTTGGGTGCTACCATCTGCTTGGGATCCTATAATTAACAAAATTAAACCCAAACCCAAGCATACCACTGCAAGACTTCATGATACTATAAGCTCGTTTTGCGTAAATCGGACCAAAAAATTAATATTAAAAAAACTGAAGGTAGCCGGACTAACTATGACATTGGGACGTCAAACATCTCAGTCCCCCCCGTGACCATGGGCGCTGTAAAGCACCCGAAACGTCGGGATAATAATAAAAATAAATTAAAGTAATTAAACGCGAAAAAATCCGTAAATAATAGTTTTATTCAATGTATAGTGTTCGCGTAAATTTAAGAAATCATTATGATAAGCAATAGGCAAAGTTTAGAGCAGCTCCCAACTAGACATGGTAACGATTTGGTAACATGCAGGAAGTCGTCGAATGCAGGTGACTCAAGACCGTGTTTTGTGGCATTTTTGGGGGAGGCCCATGTGCCTATGAACAGACATGTACTCTGAAATAACCAAACTATAAATATGTTTCCCTAAACACAAGAAATATATTTTCGTGTATAGTTTTTAAAACTGTTTACAATTTATACGATATATAAGACAGTCGTCAACAACACCTAAATACTTTTAGCTACAATGCACGTAAACGCATTTTCAAGGTCCAAAATATAAATTAGGAGAATGACATTGTTTCTTACAATAGTTGGAATCTATGTAGTAGATACCTACTGACGACGTACGAAACTATTGTTATATTTGTTTTTATTTTAATACAACACATAAATTTAATAATATTAATGTGATTTGAAAAAAAGTATTATTTTTTGTTTATGTACGTAAATTATTTGTTCGATTACAATTGAAACTATACTCTAAACAAACACGAGAGTCTATTACTACAAAGAGAGCTGCTTCCTTACGTAGATTATCAACTTAAATTGACAACTTGATTATAAAAATAAAAAATGACTACTTATAACAACAATATCAATCAACCAAGTTGACATAATCGACTCTGGCTTGATCCATTCCTTATTTATTGCACTTCCTTAAGTATTAAATCTTAAGAACTAACTACGTAATATTGGCATTCAACGTAGACGTCAAGTTACGAAGAGGAAATCTGAAAAAAAAAACGACATAAAGTTGATCAGAAGCGTATTGAATTATGGGTTTTATGGCCGGAGAGCACCAAATAATATGGGCGCGTGACTTGTAATATGTGAGATTCAACACTAGTTGCAATATAGTATGAAAATGAATTGAAGGGATCGAAATATTATGTATTATGTAAGCATTTAAATGGTTGAAGACCTAATTACGAATTTGATGGTGCTGCTTTTAACTCATATTTTGGTTTTCTTTTGTCCTACGTTTTAGAAAATGCAATCTGTACTGTACTGCTTACTATATCTTCTTCTACATTATCATTATCATTGTTTTTAATTGCTCACTGTAGTGTAAATCTCTCGAAATCTCCGAAAATTGTTTTCTTTTCGTATAAGTTAAATATGTTCTTTATTATTAGTGCAATAAGGTAGTATCATAGTTTAAAGATAGTTTAACAATAGGAAAACAAATGTAAATAATGTATGTATAATGTATTGTGCAAAGCAATGGCACTCCACTAACTCAATAGGCGGAAACAATACATGCGGTTGACTCGAGCATGTTTTATGTACTTATATAACCAATAAGCATCGTTTTCAAAAGGTATAATATCTATAATGGTGAATTCATATGACGGTCCATGCTTATGTTTCCGTCATTTTTTTTATAGAAAAATAAAGTTTCACGAAAATATGGTTCGGCAGTGCAACACTTGTAAATATATTTTTTCTTTTAGTAATAAAAATGATCTTGTTCAATAACAATGTACATAATGTTAATAATTGATAGATTGGGTATTATAGTATCTTAAGTTATTTTATGCCCAATTTCGTGACAATCCCTGGCATACACGCTGACCGCTGGCCGGCGTCATCGCCTGACAACAAAGGCGTTTCACAACTGTTAGTTTTTAGTATGTATTTAAACTGTGTTATACATCTCAGGGCGTGGAGTTTGGGGGGGGGGGCATAAACGGAATATCTCCGAAAATCCGCCTTCGTCTAAATACCAGAGATATTCGTTATTACCATACGGAAGGACTCATTTTCTGTTAGATCTATTTCGTGTGCACTGCTGTCTCTGATTTGGAATGTATAGACAGCAAATATAATTAGAGGCTGTAAGGCGTCTTATCTTAGTTCTGAAGTCAGATTTACGCCGGTGGAACAACATGCGACCATGCGGCATGCCACGGCCGCGTGCAACAATAATTAACATGTTGTTTTAGCCAGAATCATGCCGCAGACTGTACTTTGTATTTATTTATGTGGCATTATAATGCCACAAAAATTTTTGACTTTATGTTTACTCTATTTAATTTCCTTAAAACAGAAATAATTATTGAGATTAGTCATTTTGAACTACTACGAAATTAACTGCTGCTAAAAATACTTCATTCATTTTTCTACAGCGCCCTAATCGCTCAAGTAGACCAAAATTTTTTTAATCCTTCAACTCAATGTTGCCTCAGTTTAAAATGCACATGCACAATAATACGTAGCATGCCGCAATGTCATACTAAGGCGTAAACCAGTCTTGAGGCTTCATCTGCATTTTGATTTTTAAGCGAGAATAGAGAGCCTATATGCGCCGCAGCACTTATTCACTACGAAGTTGCCTGTGTGCTAAGCGGGTACGAGTACTAAGCAGGTACGAGTACTAAGCGGGTACGAGTACTAAGCGGGTACGAGTACTAAGCGGGTACGAGTACTAAGCGGGTGTGTGATGCATGTAACACATACGCCTTTGCGAACTTTTATTGCATTCACTTATCGGATGGTACTTATGCCTAGGCTACACACATCGCGATAGTATTTCAGCGAGAAAACTTCGCCTTCGTCCTACGACGAATGTGCCTGGGCGAAGTTTTATCGCGATGTGTGTGGCCTAGACATATCTCTTACAAATAATTGGTCCGGGTCTGGATGTTTGTCCTTGTGAAATTTATGTGTCTAAACTGCCTCCATGATACAGAAGAACATCCTAATGTGTGTGAGTGGGGGGGGGAGGTAAGGGTTTAAAAAATATATAACCTTCAGTTTTTCAGTACAGTCTGCACGTAGTCGATCACTCGCTGGTCGTGTAGTATCTTGAGGTGTTCTGCGTTAGGAAGCGGTACGCTCTTGACGGATTTGCCGCGGTTCAAAAGGCGCCGCCTCTTGGCCCAATGTGCGCACGCGCTCAGCGAGCGTAAGTTCACAGTTCCGTCGCCGTCGCCACTCTCCAGTACTGGGTAGCCGTCGAGCCAAGTACCCGGCTTGTATACCAGCCTGGAGCGAAAAGAAAATAATGTAAACTTGTGATCGAAATGTGCGCCACAATTAATGCCTGGTACATGGAGAAACTAGTTACCACTAGCGCTTTCTAGTATCGAGTAGCGGAAGTAGGAGAGTCAAGATCCTTCTAGAAATTTCCATGGAAGAACTTTCTAAAACTATCGACACATAGTCAGTCGGGAGCGGTATGTACTCGAACATTCTAGATGATTCTACGGTAGAAGATTCTGGAATTATCTGTATAGACCCCGACCCGAGTCAGTATTGAATTGGCGATACAAGCGAATACTTCGAAGCGATCTGGGAACTAAAGTGATCAGTAGTACAATTTTGTTTTGTTATTAGTGTGGTTTTAAGTTGTAATTAAAGAGTCAATTTTGTTATTTCATTCGGCAGTTTTTACTGTCTCGAAGCCCAAGCTCGTAACAGAAAGATACACAATTTACCCGTAAAAAGCCGAGTCCGGTGTAATGAACTATCTTGCGAATGTAATTCTACATTTGGCCTCGATGTCACAGACACAGTATGATTAGCATAAAAAGTACTTATTTTAAACAGTTGTTATTCATCGAAATTTCGAAATCGAAATTCGAATTGAGAATTTTATTTAGGAATCAGGAAAAATCGGCACATAGCTCATTGGATTGCAATTGGTAGCAATGACTTATGGATTTTAAAGTAAACATTTGCATTATGAAAATCTTCTTAGTACCCATTGCGCGACCAATTTACTCATGTAATATTTTTAATTAATAGATTTAAATATACTTTTAAATAATACTAGTTTTTACGGATTTTATCGCGTATATTTAACTATAAATACCCGACGTTTCGAGCGCTTTACAGCACCCATGGTCACGGGGGAACACTGAGAACTTCAAACTTCCAGATGTCATAGTTAATAGCGGTTACCATAGATTAAAATTTAACTTTTGTTCCGATCTACACAGTATGAACTTATGGTATCTTGAAGTCTTGCAGTTGTATGCTTGGGTTGGAAATTAATTTTATTTATTATAGGATCCCAAGCAGATGGTAGCACCCAACCATCTTCTATATTGAAGTTAGGATGTTTTTTTATTTCAATAGCCTCGCGAATCATCCTTGGAAGGAATCTGTGTTCTTTAGCGAGGATTTGTGGTCTATCAAATCTGATGTAGTGACGGGGGCGATCATGTACGTGTTCACAGACTGCAGACTTCCCGGAGCGTCGATTCTTCACATCAGCTATGTGTTCTTTAACGCGGGTTTTAATTGATCTTTTAGTTTGTCCATGTAATATAGACCACATTCACAATCAAGATTGTACACTCCTGCATCTTGCAGAGGGACGTTACACTTGACTGATGGTAAAAACTGACCAATCTTCTTCGGCGGCTTGAAGCATGTTTTGGTGGAAGCACGCTTTAAGATGTAGCTAATCTTGTCAGTGACTCCTCTAACATATGGCAGTACAGCAGGTACACGCTCGACTGTGGCCGGCTTCACTCGTTCACTGTGACGTAGGCGCGGGACCCGAAGCTTGTTATCATGCAAAACTTGCTTGACGTGGTGGAGCTCGGTAGCCAGGTGTTTACTGTCACAGATCCCTCGTGCTCTCTGAAATAAAGATTTACCCACGGTAGCTAACTGTGAAGGATGGTGGTGAGAATCACCGTTTAAATATCTGTCGGTATGGGTCTTTTTTCTATACACAGTATGGCTCAAGGTGTTATCAGGATTCCGAATTACTAACACATCTAGAAAAGCTAATTGGGAACTATGTGGCGATGGGCTCACCTGTATCTCCCATTGTCGCCGACATATTCATGGAAGACTTTGAGGAGAAAGCCCTGCTTACTTCTCCCATAAATCAACAAGCGGTACGTAGACGAAACTTTCACAATTCTACCTTTAGATAAAGTAACTGCATTTTTAGACCATCTTAACTATATACAAAATTCAGTTCACAATGGAGTTTTAGAAGCAAACAATTCCTTAGCTTTTCGAGATGTGTTAGTAATTCGGAATCCTGATAACACCTTGAACCATACTGTGTATAGAAAAAAGACCCATACAGATAGATATTTAAACGGTGATTCTCACCACCATCCTTTACAGTTAGCTACCGTGGGTAAATCTTTGTTTCAGAGAGCACGAGGGATCTGTGACAGTAAACACCTGGCTGCCGAGCTCCACCACGTCAAGCAAGTTCTGCACGACAACAAGCTTCGGGTCCCGCGCCTACGTCACAGTGAACGAGTGAAGCCGGCCATAGTCGAGCGTGTACCTGCTGTACTGCCATATGTTAGAGGAGTCACTGACAAGATTGGCTACATCTTGAAGCGTGCTTCCATCAGAACATACTTCAAGCCGCCGAAGAAGATTGGTCTGTTTTTACCATTACTCAAGTGTAACGTCCCTCTGCAAGATGCAGGAGTGTACAAGCTTGATTGTGAATGTGGTCTATCCTACATAGGACAAACTAAAAGATCAATTAAAACCCGCGTTAAAGAACATATAGCTGATGTGAAGAATCGACGCTCCGGGAAGTCTGCAATCTGTGAACACGTACAGGATCGCCCCCGTCACTACATCAGATTTGATAGACCACAAATCCTCGCTAAAGAACACCGATTCCTTCCAAGGATGATTCGCGAGGCTGTTGGAATAAAAAAAACATTCTAACTTCAATAGAGAAGATGGTTGGGTGCTACCATCTGCTTGGGATCCTATAATAAATAAAATTAAATCTCAACCCAAGTATACAACTGCAAGAATTCAAGATACCATAAGTTCATACTGTGTAGATCGGATCAAAAGTTAAATTTTAATCTATGGTATCCGCTGTTAACTATGACATCTGGACGTTTAACATCTCAGTCCCCCCCGTGACCATGGGTGCTGTAAAGCGCTCGAAACGTCGGGTATTTATAGTTAAATATACGCGATAAAAATATACTTACTTAGTTTACGAAGTTCCAAAACAAAGTTAAATATTAATTAATATTAGATAGTTGCATATTTTCAAAGTAAAATACTGTTATGTGTAGTATGGAATAAAAGAGTTTTTAATTTCATTAAATTAAAAAATTTTAAATTGGTAGTTTATTAGCATTATTAGTTATAGATTGGTATTCTGCGAAAGCGTGGTTCTTCCCAGGTCAAGCTGACCCATTCGTACTGCAACTATAATATAGCTGCAGTATGCCACTACCACGTAGATCTTCTTGTTAGCAAATCAAAATCAATAAAAAACCACGGTAACTAATCCATCTGACAAAAGGAAACTAAAACGAGATGAGCAGCCAATTAGCAAATTAATAATAATAAAAAATCTACAATTGCCAATCCATCTGAAAAGGGTGGCAACTATGGCGAATAGAGAGGACTATGCTCTCTATGTTCAGCAGTGGACTTTGAATCCTGAACTAGGTAAGAACCTGTATGTCAGGATTCAGCGCCTTCGCCCATGTTTCTTAGTCTAATTAATTTAAGTCAAAACAATTTTCCAGTGTGTTTTCAGATTTATCTAATAACAGTTATACTCGAAAAATATTATTTGATAGTTTTTAGGGTGCATGCAGAAGTGTGAATGCACGCGCGCGCGCGCGTGCTTGTGTGTATGTGCGCCTGTGTGTGTGTGCGCATGTGCGTGTAAGTGCGTGTGCGTGAACGTGTGTGCATGCGTATGTATGTGTATGTTTTTGCGCTCATTTCGTAACCGTAAATAAAACGTGGGTACACCATTTTCACCTGGAGATAAAAAAAACAAAGCAAGGTGTGGAAAAGATCGTCTTCCCCGTCAGCAAAGTGATTCAAGGACTGCTGGAAAAATTATGCATCTGTCTTCTGGGATGCGGAAGGTATAACGATGATCAACTATTTAAGTGAAGGAGAGTCAATTAGAGGAGATTATTACGCATCATTTAACAAAAAACTGCGAAGAACTAAAGAAAAAATGTCGACGAAAATTGCGTACTGGAGGAGTGCTTTGTGATAATGCCCCTGTCCATTGATTTGATGTTGTAGGCGCTACCATCCAAACTACTGGGTTCAGTTGATACAGCACCCACCATATTTTCCAGACCTAGCTCCGAGTGATTTTCCTTTTTTTAATCACCTGAAAAATCACTTGCGTGGTATAATTTGACGGCGACGATGGGATGATACTTATAACAGTGGTAGAGCCACGCGGCAGCTTTGCTGTCGCACGTATGGGCCGGCTCAAACCGGGGTGGTACCACGACCTCACAGAATACCGGCGTGAAGTGGAAGCTCTGCTTCCGCGTTTCGTCTGGTGAGTGCAGGTGGCCGGAGGCCCAAATCCCCCCCCCCCATCAACATGGTAGCGGAATTAAATGATAGACTACCCCAGGAGGGTACCAGCACCCCTGGAGAATCCCTCGCTGAGCATCCACGACCATGTTTCTCCACTTCTGAGCGTGGGTGCTCAGGCTGCCCCGCGTATTCTGGGGGGGGGGCAATATTCCGCTCAAGACTAAAACTGCTCGGGGCAAACGGAGCAACAAGACCAAGGCGACCCCTGCCACGCTGTCCGTGAATTTCTGCAATATCAGGGGACTTCACTCTAACCTAAACGCCGTCCACTACCATCTCGAGACGGCGAGGCCGGCTCTGCTCTTTCTGACCGAGACGCAGGTGTCCTCTCCGGCTGATGTCTCGTATCTCTCCTACCCGGGGTACAAACTGGAACACTCCTTTGTGCCTCGGGCTGGAGTTTGCGTTTACGTCAGAGAGGACATCTGTTCTCGACGCCTCGGCAGACTTGAAGGTTCGGACCTGTCCATCCTTTGGCTACGCGTAGACAGCGACGACCATCCGCGCGTCTACGGGTGCCTCTATAGGTCCCATAGCGGTAATGCCGAAACAGACCGACTCTTCGACCACGTCCAAATGGCTGCAGATTCGTTGCTACAGCAGATCCCCTCCGCAGAGATCGTGATCCTCGGCGACTTCAACGCCCATCACGCCGAATGGCTCGGTTCACGTTTAACCGATCATGCGGGGAGATCTGTTCGTGATTTTGCCTTGGCATATGGTCTGACACAACTGGTTACTTCGCCTACGCGGATTCCAGATGTGGAGGATCATGCACCTTCCCTGTTGGACCTTCTGCTGACCTCTCACCCGGACGGATATCAGATTTCCGTCGACGCCCCTTTAGGCTCCTCGGATCATTGTCTTGTCCGGAGTGTGGTGCCACTCACGCTGAAATCGCGGTTGCATTCTGCAGGCTGCCGCCGTGTTTGGCACTATAGGTCAGCTGATTGGGATGGGATGCGGTCTTTCTTTGCATCCTACCCTTGGGGGCGGGTTTGCTTCTCGCCGGATGATCCCAACGTTGTTGCGGATTCTGTCGCTGATGTGGTACTTCAGGGTATGGAACTTTTATTCCTTCCTCTGTGGTGCCCATTGGAGGCAAATCTCAGCCATGGTTTGGTCGCTCCTGTAAAATAGCATCATGCTATAAGCAGGAGTGCTACCAAGCCTGGGCTGACGCATCAGCGTCCAGGGATGTAAACACCAGCGCTCTAAAAAAGAAGTATAATTCCGCCTCTAGGTCCTTCAAAAGAGTCATTGCCAAGGCAAAGTCAGAGCACATAGGCAGAATTGGCGAGAGACTAGTTCGTCTTCCTTCTGGAACCCGTGCATTCTGGTCTCTCGCCAAGGCTGTCCAGGGGAATTTCTGTCAGCCATCTCTTCCATCTCTGCACAGGGAGGACGACTCACTGGCCCACACCGCAAAGGAGAAAGCCGATCTTCTAGGCTCTTTCTTTGCGTCTAACTCGACTCTCGATGACGGGGGGAGTACGCCGCCGACCATCCCGCGGTGTGAGTGCTCCATGCCGGAAGTGCACTTCACTCAGCGCTCGGTTCGCAAAGCACTCCTCTCCCTGGACATCCATAAGTCGAGTGGGCCTGATGGAATCCCCCCAATTGTGCTGAGGACGTGTGCTCCAGAGTTGGCACCGGTTTTAACGCGTCTTTTCCGGTACTCCTACTCCCTAGGCGTAGTCCCAAAATCATGGAAGACGGCTTTCGTCCACCCGATCCCTAAAAAAGGCGACCGCTCAGACCCGTCCAACTACCGGCCTATCGCCATCACCTCCTTGTTCTCCAAAACAATGGAGTCCATTGTAAACTGCCAGCTCATGAGGTACCTTGAGGATCACCAGCTGATTAGTGACCGCCAATACGGTTTTCGCCGTGGTAGGTCAGCTGGTGATCTTCTGGTCTACCTAACTCACAGATGGGCGGAGGCAGTAGAGTCCAAGGGGGAGGCATTGGCCGTTAGTTTGGACATTGCGAAGGCCTTCGATCGGGTTTGGCACAAAGCGCTTCTTTCGAAGCTCCCTTCCTATGGGCTTCCCGAGAAATTGTGCGATTGGATCACCAGTTTTCTTGCAGATCGGAGCATCAAGGTCGTTGTAGACGGTGCAAGCTCCGATTGCAAGCTTATTAATGCTGGTGTTCCACAGGGCTGCGTGCTATCGCCAACGCTGTTTCTTCTGCATATCAATGATATGTTGCAAACCCGTAGCATTCATTGCTATGCAGATGACAGCACTGGTGATGCTCTTTACACCGGCCGAGCAAATATTTCTCGGGAAAACGTCTCTGAGTGCCGGGACAAACTTGTGTCTGAAGTCGAGTCTCTGCTGGACAGAGTCTCGGATTGGGGGCGACTAAATCTAGTCCAGTTTAACCCCCAGAAGACACAAGTTTGCGCGTTAACCGCTAAAAAGAACCCCTTTGTCGTATCCCCTCAGTTTCAAGGCACTCCCCTTGTTGCCTCAGCCAGTATCGGAATCCTCGGCGTCGACATATCGAGTGACGTGCAGTTTCGTGGTCACTTGGAAGGGAAGGCCAAATTGGCCTCTAAAAAGCTTGGCGTGCTCAGCAGAGCGGGACAGTATTTCATGCCGGCACACCGCCTGCAACTTTACAAGGCGCAGGTTCGGCCGCTCATGGAATACTGTTCCCATCTCTGGGCTGGGGCTCCCCAGTACCAGCTCCTTCCACTTGACCGCATCCAGCGCAGAGCGGCTCGAATCGTCGACGACCGAGTGCTTTCCGATCGGCTCGATTCACTGGCGCTGCGAAGAGATGTTGCATCTCTTTGCGTATTTTATCGCATCTATCACGGGGAGTGCTCTGAGGAATTGTTCGGATTAATCCCAGCCGCCAAATTTCGTGAACGCACTACACGGCAAACGTCCCGATACCATCCACACCATCTGGATGCTTGGCGGTCCACCACTGTACGTTTCAAAAGGAGTTTTCTTCCGCGTACAACCTCTCTGTGGAATAATTTACCACCGGTGATTTTTCCGGACCGATACGACCTGGGGACCTTCAAGAAAAAGAGCTTACTCCTTTCTAAAGGGCCGGCAACGCACCTGCAATTCCCCTGGTGTTGCGGTTGATCATGGGCGGCGGTAGTCACTTAACATCAGGTGAGCCACATGCTCGTTTGCCCCCTCTTCTATAAAAAAAAAAAAAAAAAAAAAAAAAAAAAAAAAAAAAAAAAAAACTTTGTCTAGTCACAGGATCAAGGCTTTTTTCCCAAGAGAATTAACGAATTTGAAAAGCGCTATTCCATGTATATTAGCTTAAATGGCGATTACGTTGTAAAATAAATATAATTTACAAAATATACTCATCCCAGAGTTTCTAAAGAGCAGAGCAGTGTGGCTCTACCATGGTGAAGTGTAAGGGATTTCTCTTACCGTTCGACAGTGGAGATGTTGTACCCATACAGGCAGTGCACCTCGACGCCGGGCGCGCTGAAGTCTCGCGTGTACTTCTCCGTATCCTTGCGCATCTCCCATGCATTCGGGAGGTCCATGTCGCTGCGTTCAACAGAGCAATTTTATAATGTAAATTTTAAACAGTATGCTTTATTATAACACTAGCTGGCCAGGCAGATGTTCTGCCCTTTCCGACGACTTTCTTGTAAAAAATCCTTAAATACGCAATAAAAAATTAAGGGTTACTTATCGGTTTAAAAACCAGAAATCTCTCAAGTTGGAAATTCTGCACACAATGTGCAAAATTTCATTGAAATCAGTTCAGTAGTTTAGGAGTTCATCACGGACAAATAACTTGACACGTTATTTTTATATATAAAGATTAAAAAGAAGTGCGGATTTAGGGTTTTCTTTTTTATGACAAACAAGCTTAGAGTCCACTTGATGGTTAATACATTTTTAGCCCATAGACCCCTGCGACCAATTTTGATTCGTCCAAATTGAAGAATCGCATCAACAAAAGTAGGACGTTAAAAAGATGTTGCGATTTCGATTCTTTCCAAATTATCAAACAAGTAATTTTTATTTTTTTATTAAGTTTAATTTCATTTGATATTTACTTTATAATTAAATTGGTTTAAATTAGACATAATTAACCTTTTGAGCGCCAAAGTCGCCTATACTTGACAAGCACCTGCGAGCTCTGAGAGCCAACGACATCTATAGTTGACAAAAAACCCGGCCCACAAAAATATGAAATATAGATATTGGAAAGTAATTACTGGTATTTTAATTCCACACTCCTCAAAGAAGAATAACCCAGCAACATGTGAGTATAAAAAACAAGTCTCCTAGAGCCACGAGTACTAAGAAACATTGAACTAAAAAAAATGGATTTTTATCGGACGGGGTCTATGTTTGACCGCTAGTGTTGTAATGCGTTAGTGCGTTAGGCATAGATTTATTGAAAACTATTCAAAACTAAACGCAAACGTGTTAAAGGGTCCGCCATCTAACTTTTTTTCAACTAGTGCTTATTTCGTGAATGGCAACACTTAGCTCATGTCTAATTTGACAGATAATTAGTTTTATCCTTCCGCTGAACGAATATGGTTGTGTATATGCTTGAACAACGCTGGGAAATATTGCGACATTACTTTGAAAATCATGGTAATGTTGCAGAATGTGTGCGAAAATTGCGTACGGATTTTGGAAGAAATGAAGCACCGTCAGCTCCGTATGTTCGTTACCTTGTGAAAAAAGTGAAAGAAACTGGCATCCTCATCGATAAACCAACGCGTGAAAAGCCAAAAACAGTGCGTACACCCGAGAATATTGCTGCTGTGGCCGAAAGTGTGCGTGAAACGCCATCAACATCAGTTCACCGTCGTTCTCAACAATTGGACATTTCGGAGACATCATTGAGACGAATTTTGCGTAAAGACCTTGGTATGACGTCGTACAAAATCCAATTGGTTCAGGAGTTGAAGCCAACTGACCATCCAATGCGTTTTCGCTTCGCTAAGTGGGCCTGCGATCGACTTGCAGAAGATGCGGATTTTGCCAAAAAAAATCATCTTTTCAGATGAACCTCATTTCGAAATTGGCGGGTATGTAAACAAGCAGAATTGTCGCATTTAGGGCACAGAAAACCCGCACGCATTCATCGAAAAGCCGGTGCACCCAAAACGAGTCACTGTTTGGTGCGGATTTTGGTCCAGAGGCATAATTGGGCCATTTTTCTTCGAAAACGAGCAAGGCCGTTAGTCAATGGCGATCGTTATCGGGCCATGTTGAACGAATTTTTGTTCACAGAAATTGAAGAGGAGGATATTGGCAACATTTGGTTTCAACAGGACGGCGCAACGTGCCACATAGCCGACGCTACACTTGATGTTTTGCGCCCTGTTTTTGAAAATCGCATTATCAGCCGCAGAGCTGATGTCGTTTGGCCACCTCGGAGCTGCGATTTGACACCGTTGGACTATTATTTGTGGGGTGCCGTCAAAGATAAGTGTTACGCCGACAAGCCAGAGACAATTGACGCTTTAAAGGACAATATTCGTGAAGCCATTGGTGAAATACAGCTGCACACAATCGATAATGTACTCAAAAATTGGACCGATCGTGTAGGCTACTGCATGGCCAGCCGAGGCAGCCATTTGAATGGAATTATTTTCCATCATTAACCGGAAGGATTGTACTTTCAAATAAAAAAAGAAATTTGAAAAAATATTTAGTAGTTTTTTTAATAGCATTAAAAAAAATTATTTGGCGGACCCGCTATTTTTTTTAATTATTATTGATATTTGAATAAAACAAAAGGTAAGAAACATAAAACTATCATCAGCTACATAAATAAAAGAAAATTTCATCAAATCAACTTCGCATAATAAATCTAATATCTCAACTCTGGCGCATCCTTAGCGCGTCGTCGATTATCAGATTATCAGTTCATTGGGCGCCGTGGTCAAGGATAGACGACACCATGATGACGTCATAAACGAATAGCGGAAAAAGTAGTGCAGTGCAACATGAACGATTCCTCAGAACTCATTCGCATTTTGGAAAGCGTCGATGATGATGAATTTTTTTATTTTAATAATATAAAATTACAAATAATAAACGTTTATTTTTTTCTTAAGATATGACGAGCAATTTTACATTTTGTGTTGTGCGATTTTCTTTCTCAATATAGGGTATTGACTGAAACCTCTATTATATTTGCTGATGACATTTCCATTATTATTCCGCATACAAAAGACTAGAATTTAAATAATAAATTGAATCATGTAAACCTAGAGATTAATTTTAATAAAACAAAATTATATAATTCCCACCAGCTCAAAAATCACAACTAATTAATATCGCTTTTACTTATAATAATATACCTATAGGAACTGTTGACAACTTCAACTTGTTAGGCCTGGAAATCGACTGCCATATAAACTGGAAAGTCCATATAAATAAAGTAAAAAATAGGCTATCAAAATTCCATTCAATTACGAGAAATAAAGAAAACCACAGATGTCCCCAGCGCTCTGTCAGCATATTACGCATACACATCTTCGTAGCTGTCATACGGTGTCATGTTGTGGGGAAATAGTAAAGATGCACAGCAATTATTTATAATGCAAAAAAAAAATAAGAATCTTGGCAAATATAAAAATTCCAGAAAGTTGTAAGCGCCACTTTAAAAAGTTTAAAATTTTGACTTTGACGTCTATTTATATTTGGGAAACATGCAAATTTGTAAAAAACCACCCAGAACTATTTACCAAATTAAGTGAAACAAATTACAAATACTCAATTAGACCAAATAAAAATAGGCTACTATTGCCGAAATCTACTCTTGCTAGCATAGCTCTAGTCCCTACTGTATGGCGGTAAAATTTTTTAATAACCTTCCAAATGACATAATAAATTTAACGAGTACTACATTATTTTTATCCAAATTAAAGTTATATTTAATTGAAAATTTTTTCTATAATTTAAATAAATATTTTGGTACAAATGTTATTTAATTTGTGTGGACAACTTCGGCCTGTGCCTATCTAATTTAATTTAATTTTTTTATTCAATTATTATTTTTTACTTATTTTTATTTATAATAATAATAATTATTTTTTTACTTGACATTGTGATTATTAATTTAATTAAATTTACAAGATTTTGAAATAATATAATCTAATAATGTAATTTATTAATGAAATCTAGTAGTTTTAAAATAATATTTAATATTTTTATAATTGCTACGCCCAAACTGGGTTCACAAATGCGGACTATTTTTTTAAAAAATTCCAAATTCTATTGTTACCATTTGATTGCAATAAAGATTATGATTATGATTATCTCAAAATCATGCAGTAGCATCAAGCATCATATCAAACCCCCATTGTCATAAGAGCGTAAGACTTCTTCTGTGCTTCACTTGGCCTACGCCTAAAATATTTTGCCGACACATAAAATATTTTGAGTCGATCTCTGTATGTTTTGGTTAGATCGATTCCGAAATCGATACACAACGTGCGACACGGCTACATCTCTAAAAAAGTTTCAAAAAGGAAGGTCAGCTACGCCGTTGTCGTCCAGTCGTGACAGTGACGTAAATCACGATGAAGAGTAGTGTTGTGGTTTACTTCTATTTTATTGTTATTGTTTATTTTTATTTATCTACAAAGTACATATATAAAAAGAGTGGAAGACAGTACAAGATTAAATAAAACATACCAGATTATAAAGAGTCATTTATTGCATAAAAATCAAGTCATTTTGTGTTATCGATATATCAACTCTTGGCAAACACTATTTTTTTCGTAGGTATTTTTGTTTACTTTTCGCTTTGGCGTACAGGACACGGTAATGCGTTTTTGACGTGGCGCTCAAAAGGTTAAAACGCTCTAGGTTCCTCAAAACGTGGACATATTTTAAAATTTGGACTTTCAAAAATCGAACCATATATAGTAACTTATAAAAAATGCTGCGTTCAAAATTAATTAATATAATTTATGTTATATCCCTACCTAAGAAAAGTTGTAGCAGCATAAATTGTGTAAATATAACCAGCAACACTCATCAAAACATCTGCTAAGCTATCCTTGGTGATTCTGGACAAACCAACTTCATGTCTAAGATTTACGTCCAGCGGTAAACTATTAAACGCTGGTTTTATTTACCTTTAAATTTAGCAGAGCGCCAGAAAAAAATTGTAATAAGCCTTCACCACTTCATTTGTTCTGGGTGTCAAAAGATGCGACTGTAGGTATAGGAAATGGCAGAAAATGTTACGTCATCCAAAAGAAGGCGGTTAACCATCTCGCTTATACCAGTACAGTCTTCACTGCTGAACATAAGTCTTCGCCACAGATTGCCACATAAAGGGGATATTTGCCATAGTTGCTACGCTTGGCAAGCGGGTGGCAACCGCAGTTTTTTTATTTTTAGTATTAAGAAGACGCTGCTGCCCATCTCCTGATATATTCCCTTTTGTCGCCTCTTACGACACCCACGGAATGATATGGAGTAGTGGATATTTTTACACCGCCAATACACGGCACATTTTGCTTATGCCAGAAGATAAATACATAAGATAAATTGGAAGCAGAACCGGGGAAGTATCTTTCTACAAAGAACTACTCTGTGCGTTTTTTTTATAGAAGAGGGGACAAGCGAGCATACGGTTCACCTGATTTTAAGTGACTACCACCGCCCATGAAGAACTGCAACACCAGGGGAATTGCAGGTGCGTTGCCGGCCCTCACATAGGAGTAAGATCTTTTCTTGAAGGTTCCTAGGTCGTATCAGTACGGAAAAATCGCCAGTGGTAAACTATTCCACAGACAGGTCGTACGCGGAAGAAAACATCTAGTGACACTTACAGTGGTGGAGTGTGTATGGTATTGGGAGGTTTTCCGCGTAGTGCGTTCATGAAATTTGGCAGCTGGGATTAATCCGAACAATTCTTCAGAGCACTCCCCGTGGTAGATGCGAAAGAAAATGCAAAGAGATGCAACATCTCTTCGCAGCGCCAGTGAATCGAGTCGATCGGAAAGCACTCGGTCGTCGACGATTCGAGCCGCTCTGCGCTGGACGCGATCAAGTGGAAGGAGCTGGTACTGGGGAGCCCCCGCCCAGAGATGGGAACAGTATTCCATGTGCAGCCGAACCTGCGCCTTGTAAAGTTACAGGCGGTGTGCCGGCATGAAATACTGTCCCGCTCTCCTGAACACGGCAAGCTTCTTAGAGGCCTATTTGGCCTTCTCTTCCAAGTGACCACGAAACCGCACGTCACTTGATATGTCGACGCCGAGGATTCCGATACTGGCTGAGGCAACAAGGGGAGTGCCTTGAAACTGAGGAGATACGACAAAGGGTCCTTTTTAACGGTTACCGCGCAAAATTGTGTCTTCTGAGGGTTAAACTGGACTAGATTTAGTCGCTCCCAATCTGAGACTTTGTTCAGCAAAGACTCGACTTCAGGCACAAGTTTATCCCGGTACTCGGAGACGTTTTCCCGAGAAATATTAGCACGGTCGGTCTACAGAGCATCACCAGTGCTATCATCCGTGTAAGGCGTGGAAGAGCCAGAGCTGTATTATGGTTGTAGCACGTATGGGTCGACCCGACCGGGGAAGGACCACGCTCTCACAGAATATCAGCGTAAAATAGCCGCTTAATGCTGCTGTGTTTCGTATAGTGAGTGTTGAGAACCGGAGACCCTTTTCACTAGATACGAGGCATTTCATCTGAGTCCTAAGTGACCACGCATCTGCATTATGATTCTTAATAGAAATCAACTAACCATGATAAATGGGTGTGTTTGTCACCCTTATTTTATAAAATAAAGAGCTTACGTGAAAAGTTTCTCGAAGTGCTCGATGGTGTAGTTAAACTTGTCGGTCTGAACGAGCACGTCGGTGGGCTTCCAGAACAGCGGCGAGGGCAGCAGCCACGCCAGCGATGGACACGTGATCTGCTCCGTACGCATCGTGCTTTCGCGGAGTATCATCGAGCCTAAGTCGTCGCCTGCATGCGTAGTGAAAATCGAAGTTATGTATTTAAGCAAGAAAACAAAACATTGATATTCAGGCAAACGAGCACACAGTCTATATTTAAGTGGAATAAAAATTATAATATTTTTTATTCAATATAGATTGCAATAATTATTGAGTCTTTCAAATATGCTTTTACTACTGGTTTGAAAAAAAAACCTCTTTTTTTTCAAACCAGTAGTAAAAATTTCATCATATTTTCTAGGACTACGTATAGTAAAAGCATATACACTGCTCCATGAAGGAATTACCGACTCTTTGAATTCGAGTAAATGGTATAACTAGCTTGTCACAAGCACAAGCAATTATGTATACATTAAATTTTCGTAAATATATTTAAATTATTTGTAAAAAAAAATTCTAAGAGATTCTTTCACACCTGGGTTATAAAATTGCTCTTACGTCAGTCGCATTGTCCAATAGCAAGATTTCATATGACATTATGGTACGGAAATAACTAAAATAATCTAGCTGTTTCAACACATATAAGGCCTCCCAATCTTTTTTACAGCATATGCTAAGGAGCTAAGTTTGCTAGCTAGTTTGGATATATGACGGCTCCATTGAAGCTTCCCGTCGACTGTAATTCCGAGAGAAACAGATAGTTCCACAAGACTCAGCTCATCCCTATTTAAAAGCACACTGGTTAACATCTTGCGTTGTAAAAATACATTTCGTATTATTGCGATTTAAGTGCTGTAAAGCACCCGAAACGTGGGGAATTAAATATAAATTAATTAAAGGCTATCAAATCTGTAAAAAAGTTTCATTTAATTTAATCCGATTTTGTTAAAATTCAATTCAAAGTTTCATTTGAATAATCTTGCCTGTTTCACTATTGATAATACTCCAAGATAATATGACCTTTGTCTACTACGAATTCCTACTGTCGCCTATTCATTAATCGATTTGTAAAATCGTAAAAAAATCATAGGAACTTTTTTATTCGTATTTCATCAAAAAATATAAAAAATTGTATTGTTTGAAAATAACAATTCCGTGCAATTTAAAAAAAATTGGTATAAACAATATAGCACTGAGTTGCCCCATGTTAACATGCATCTATAACTTAAGTAGGACAATTTGAAGAGAATCGCATAAAAAAATGAAGGTGGAATAATTTTCGGTACTTATGCGCCGATTTCTCCTGGACTGATACAAATTGCAGAAGGCCCTGCAATATTTGTTGGCTCTAAGAACAAATTAACAAGATGTATGATTTGAGCAATGATCTAAACTTAATACTCATGGAAGAAGTTTCAAAGAGATTGATATTGAATGTGGGGGCCCTGTAAATACTAACAACCATGTGGTGCTCAAGCTCAACACATGCCATTTCTACAACTAACTCAACAGAGGCTTACAATATCCTTACATCTTAATATATATAAATTACGTGTCACGTTGTTTGTCCGCGATGGACTCCTAAACTACTTAACCGATTTTAATCAAATTTGCACACCGTGTGCAGTTTGACCCAACTTGAGAGATTGGATAGTTTTTTTGCCCATTAGTGACCCACAATTTTTTTGCGAATTTAACGATTTTTTATAGGACATGACAAAGGGTCTCGAAAAGGGCAGAACCACGTCTGCCTGGCAAGTTAGTTCTTTATATAACATGTAAATTCATCAGCTAATGTGAAAGAGCCACCACGTTATTCGTTTTCTCTGTTGTTTACTGAAATTAAACATATTGAAACAGAAACCTTTATATTCAATATGAATTACAAATAATATTTATTGAAAGTCACTTTTTTTTCATTTACCACTGGTACTCAAAAAAAACTTCTGTCATGAAAAGTACCAGCAAAAAACCCAGCGAGACTATTTTTTTTTAAATAAGAGCTTACAATCATGTTTGTTACAATCAACAACACAAAACAAATATAAATATATAATTAGCAGAAACAATACAATACAATACAATACAATACTCTTTATTGTACACCAACAAAACATAAATATAACAAATAATGAACAAATAATGAGGGATAAACAAAAGGCGGTCTTATTGCTACATAGCAATCTCTTCCAGACAACCCAGAAGAGGAAATTAATAAAAATAAAAATAAGATTAATGGGTAGGGTGCACTAAATTAGACAAAAAAAAAATACAATTTATATACTATGAAATGACAACATACTTAAGCTAAGAGGAGAAAGAGATAGGAGTTAAAGAGACAAATAGTGTTCCTTAATTTGTTTCTTGAACACATTTAAAGATTGAGCACTTTTAATGGACTGGGGTAAGGAGTTCCAGAGCCTTACTCCACGAACAGCAAAATATTTATCATAAAATGTCGAGGAGAGTACAGGACATTGGAGCGAAAGTTTTTCTTTGGACCGTAAGGAAAAATCGTGACAAGAGCTAAGAAATTTAAAACGTTCTTTTAGATAGGGAGGACTTAATACATTAAATAAGACGCAGCAGAGCGCAGAAAGTATATGAGTATTCCGACGAAGACGGATTGGGAGCCACTTGAGTTTAGTGCGGTATTCCGAGACATGGTCATATTTACGAAGCCCAAATATAAACCGTATACAGAGATTTTGGAGTCGCTCAAGTTTATTAAGTTGCTGCTCGGTGATATCAAGATAACAAATGTCAGCATAGTCGAGGATTGGGAGTAGCAAAGATTGTGCAAGCGTAATTTTGGTGGAAATGTGTAAAAATTAGTTAAGCCTTCGGAGTGACGCATAAGCCGCAAACATTTTTCGGCTCACTGCATTAATTTTGGGTGTCCAAGACAGATTGGAATCCAAAAGGATACCTAAATTTTTAACTACTTCATTATATGGAATAAGAATACCATTAAATACAACGGGTTGAATTTGACATTTTTTAATTTTGGAAATAGTTCTTGAACTCCCAATAATTATAGCTTGCGATTTTGAAGGGTTAATCGTCAACCCATAAGATCGTGTCCAGTCGAGAATAAAAGCCAGATCCTTGTTGATACATTCAACAGCTTTGGCAAGATCTTCGATGGTTGTTTGTAAATATATTTGAAGGTCATCTGCATACAAGTGGTAAAGAGAAGATATTTGGGATGTAATCGTATTAATAAAGATTGAGATTAAAAGAGGAGATAAGAAACCACCTTGTTGGACACGAATACGTTGCCGGCGCCCGTGCAAATATCTATAAAACCAGGAAATTGCAGTTGGAGATATGTTAAGAGAACGCAGAATCCCTAACAGGATATCATGATCAACAGTATTGAAGGCATTGCTGAAATCCAGCAACACCAATACTGTGACTTGATGATTCTCCATACCGTGACGAATGTCGTCGGTGATTTTTAATAACGCCGTAGTCGTACTATGACCAGATCTAAAGCCAGATTGGAGAGGACTAGGATGCTATTTCTTAAACAAAAGGAATTAATTTGTTGTTGGACAAGGCGTTCTAAAACTTTGGAAAGGAAAGGAAGAATTGAAATAGGACGATATTCAGAAAAACTTGAAGGATTTGCTTTTTTAGGTAAAGGTATGATTTGAGCGTCCTTCCATTGGGAAGGGAAAGAAGATGAGGGTATGGAAAAGTTTAAGATATGGGTTATAATAGGTGTTAAAAAGTCTAACAAGGGAATGATCATTTTACGACTGACATCACTTCCGACAGCGTCGGAATGGATAGAGAGTATGTGTTTCCTAATATCCTCATAGCTATCGCATAGATGGCGGTATTATCAATCTGATCTTATCATACATCTGGTGTATGTACTATGTATTTGCCAAATGTAAAATATCATACCGGTCACAATAAGCACATCTAGCCAAAGTGCGAGAAGTCCAATATTTGTCTGACTAAAAAAATCCTCCATACATTGTGAGTGGCCAATGGGTTATATCCAAATATATGGAAGACTGTAACTAATAGCATCCCATAGCATTGTTTTAAATGCTAAATTAAAAAACCGGCCAAGAGCGTCTCGGGCCACGCTCAGTGTAGGGTTCCGTAGTTTCCCGTCCGTCACAATAAGTGTTCCCTCACTTATGAGTTTAAAGGTGGGTATCCATTATGTTCGCGCTGCAGCAGCGCTCCGCGCTCCTGCAACTGCTCCCGGTAGTGGGTACTGTTGTTTCCATCCAAGTTCAAAATGATTTTCCTAGAAAGTCCTTATAAAGTTCTACTTTTCAGATTTTTTTCATATTTTCTAAACTTATGGTTCAAAAGTTAGAGGGGGGGGACACATTGTTTTTTACTTTTGGAGCGATTATTTCCGAAATTACTAACATTATCAAAAAATGATTTTAATAAAACCCTATTCATTTTTAAATACCTTTCCAACAATATATCACACGTTAGAAAATAGGTTGAAATTAAAAAAAAATCACTTCCCACTTTACATATAGGGGGGCTACCCTAATAAAACATTTTTTTTCCAATTTTTATTTTACCACTTTGTCGCCGTGGCACATATTGGTACCAAATTTCAGCTTTCTAGTGCTAACGGTCACAGAGATTAAGCGAGGACGGACAGACGGACAGACAGACATGGCGAAACTGTAAGGGTTCCTAGTTGACTACGGAACCCTAAAAAGAGAAGCAATTATAAAGAAAATGTTGCAAAACAGTAATAGGAAAAACATAAAAAGAAACGTAAACGTTTATGGTAAACAGACACACCTTTTTGAGGCTTCTAGCCGCAGCGGAAACCACATAGTAGTTTGAATTGCAGTCTTGCCTTAGTGCAGATTTTCCCATGCCATATAACAATAGAAAAAACGCATCAATACTTTCTAAGCTCAATCCATTACGGTGTGGGGTCCATAGTTTATGACTGATTGTCCAAATTAGCATCCAATACAACTTTAATGAAGCGGTCACATAATGTGTACACTCCACTTGTGACCATGCTTTATCAATGCATTTTATCATACACAATAGTAGTGTAAAAAACCCATCACCTTATTGACATTTCGTGGACAATGGCTCGCAACTCGGTATTGTCCACAGATAATAAGCTAATCATATACATAGGCTGCACTAAAAGTATCGGGAATGGAATATTTCCACTGTTCCTGTCATATTAAAATCTTTTTAATTGAAAACTCCTTGGTTTTAAAAATCGAATACCATTTATTTATTTAAAAAAAGATTCTCGGTCTTGTCACAAGGTTTAGTCAAACTTGTTTAGTCGTTGAGAAAATGGAATTGACTCGAGAAAATTCAAGAGCGATGATTTATTATGACTTTCGAAGTGGTTTAACCATTGAGCTATTATGTACTACGTACTAGAGGAGACACTGCATTCAGTTACTCTGTTCCACTCAACTGCGGTGCATGCACCGCACTTTAATCAGTCACTCGCTAGGCGCTTGTAGAGTTGTCACGTGTTGTGTTGATTTAAAAAAATCTCTTGATAAAAATATGCCATCTTGTGTACTTACATATTGCACAAATAATTCAAGAAATGTCAGTAAAAACCAAGGAATTACTTTTCATCAGTTAATAAGATACTTAATCAATAAAAAAGTATTATAAATTAATAATAAAACAAATTATTCCTAAGACGCCATCTCGTATCATGGAATATAGATTATGAAATTAATATGTTCAGATGCGACATTTCTGTGGGTACTTAAGTATAGGACGAATATATTATTATACACATTTTTTTTGTAGAAACTTATATATATATATATTTATATATTATATATATATATATAAGTTATTATAATTAGGCAAAATTTTTCATGTTTAAATCTGCTTATTATTCTTTTATTTTATTTTTAGGTTTCCACTTCAAAGTCAAAGTGGAATAAATTCGTCCATTTTTAACTCTCGCATGCCGTAGCATTTGAACGATGAATGAACATGAACGATTATTTACAGCATTTATGATTCTAATTTAAATAAATATATTTGTAATTTAAATTTGATGTTAATAAGTTTTGTTAAACATACATTTAGTATGTTTTTTTATATTTGACATAGATACCTTTTAAAATATTCAGATAAAAATATCATTAAAATGTAATTGTGATATAATATTATGTAATATTATATTAAATAAACAAATATAATATACAAAATAAATGACAAAATTTAAATATTGTTCTCGATATAATTTAGCTATTTAACAATACATTACCTACGGATCATTCTACCTATGTTTATTCTATGATAAAAAAACCAAACGCGCGAACACAGAGTAGCGCATATTTTTTGTTGAGGTAGCTGTTCTAGTACGTAAGTACATATTACTTCAATGGGTTTAACACAAAAACACTTAAAAATTTCTGCATTTGGTGATGAAGCCCCATCCAAAACCACAATTTATCGCTGGTTTGCTGAATTTCAACGTGGACGTGTCAAGCTCAGTGATGATCCCCGTCAAGGTAGTCCAAAAACTGCAGTCACCCAAGAAAACGTTGATGCTGTGCGTAAGCTGATTGAGGAAGATCGACATGTGACATACCGCGAAATTCAGGCAACTTTAGACATTGGCATGAGTCAAATACAAATAATCTTGCATGAACAATTAGGTGTAAAAAAGTTGTTTTCCCGATGGATACCGCATTCGCTCTGTGAAGAGCAAAAAGCGGCTTGCGTTATTTGGTGCGTCAGAACTCTCGAAAGATTCCACGCAGGATCCTCAAATGCTGTATACAACATCGTATCAGGTGACGAATCCTGGATATACGCGTACGAACCCGAAACAAAAAACCAGTCACGAGTTTGGGTGTTTGAAAAATTGTTCGTTCACGGAGTGTTGCAAAAAAAAAATGATGGCCACGTTTGTCTCCAAAATCAGCCATGTTACGACTATTCCTCAGGGAAAGGGTTTGGTGGTATGCATTGGTTAAGAGAACTGTAACCACCGCATCATCCTCCATCACGACAATGCGAGTTCTCACACCGCACACAGAACGAAAGAGTTTTTAGAGTAATAAAACAGAATTATTAGACCATCCGCCCCGACCTAAGCCCTAATGATTTCTATACTTTCCCTAAAATAAAGAATAAATTGCGTGGACAGATTTTCATCACCTGAAGAACCTGTGGACGCCTACAAAACGGCCATTTTGGAGACCCTAACTTAATGTAATGGTTGCTTCAATGATTGGTTCCATCGTATAGAAAAATGTGTCAAATTTCGCGGAGAATACTTCGAAAAGCAATAAATACATTTTTAAATAGTAATGTTGTGTCACTTCCTTGATTCCCGAAATTTTCAGTGCCGCCCTCGTATAAGACTATCCTAAAGCCAGTATGGACTTATGGCATCCAACTCTGGGGGAGCGCTTGCAACACCAGTATAAAAATCATACAATGAGTGCAAAATAGCATTCTGCGACAGATAGCCAATGTACCATGGTTTGTGACAAATAGTGAAATTCACGAGGCTCTCAACATGACAACGGTGAAGCAGAAAATTGCTCTGTATGCAGGGAAATACCAGGGTCGACTCTAAAAACACTCTTAATGACCTAGCGGCTAACCTGGCACAAATCAGCTTTTGCAATCGACTGAAACGCTATGACATTCAAAACCTAGACATCAGGTTCCAAAAAAGATTAGCTTCAACTGTGGAGTATCTCCCGCACGACAAACACAATACAACACATCTGATGAAATTCGACTCGTCTGATTACAAATCGACATACAAAAAAAAACCTTATTGACAGATATCTCTGTGGCTCAATGACTTAGCATTAAGTTATGGCGCTGTTATCTATATATATATATATATATATATATATATATATATATCTATTTCAATAATGGGAGATAAAATGACAAAATGAAATAAAGTTAACATGCTTGAGTTTCATTCTTTGATGTAAAACATTAAAATATTGTTTGTCAAAGTCAACATATTTTCAATCTACAATGTACCACCATTTCTAGATATAAAGTTTATGTCAAACTTACCTACTGCAAACACTTTCAGTGCTTTCACAGCACCACCCCAAGGCGTGGACAACGAGATCATCCTCCTGATGTATTGGTCCTTCCAGTCTTGGCTTTGCAGACGTAGGAAATGCAGCGCCATAGACCCGCCCATGCTATGCACAAGTAATGTCACTGCGCTCTTGTTATTTTTTATATATGTCTCTTCCACTAGCATTTTTAATTTGACAAAGAACTCGCCATTTTCATCTGAAAAAAAAAACATTAAATAACAACTCCTTCGAATTTATGTAACACATCATAACTTAATTTTATACATATTTTATATAATATGTGTACTACAATGAATAATTACTAACTTTAATTTTACCTTAATTACTGAATTACTACTTGTTAAGATATTTGTTTTTTAGTTTAGTTCAAACAAACATATTCCTATTCTTTTAGATTGCTAGAGCAAATTTTTTTTACAATATAATCTACATCTACTATTGCCATATTTTGTTTTTATTCCTTCTAAAACTATTAAATTTGCCCGTTATAGTGATGTTATCCAGTCAACAAATTTAATAATCATTAAAAAAATGTACTAATGTATGTTTTACCCCTAAAATCCTTTATATATTGCTAGTTAAAGAAACAGTCCAATTTTGCAGGAGGAAACAAGGATATATGAGATGATTTTGTCAATTTTTCATAGGTATAATCAGCCCTAGCAGCTGTATCTTGGTTGTCTAGCTTTGTACTTCATGTAGAGCATGACAACAATAGATCTGTCAAAAATCTATTCTTCAAATGTCTTGTCTCACATATATCGCCTTAAATATGGTAGATGGAAATTTCAACAGCTTAAATTAAGTTAATGTTTGCCATAATGGTTTAATGAATGTGAAACTAACTTATTACAGATTTAATCATGATTAATTACTTATCCCCAGTACCATAGCTTCTGCAAATCACTCAGATATTAAATAAATGAAATTACTAAATAAATGTAATAAAATCCATAAAAATTTGTTTTACCCATATAAGACCTCATTAATTACATATGCTTGGGGCCCGAGTAGCAAGTTACTATAGATTACTGAATAAAAAACTATCTTGGAAAACATTTACACTTAAATATGTACTTTTTTTTAATTTGTTTCAACATAGTAAGAAGTTTAATTATGAAATAATTTCTTCATGCAATAAACATTTTGTTTGTCTTGGCACTGCACAGTTTGCTCTTATATAATAATGTTAAGTATTAAGTATATATAAAACATTAAACTCAATATGAACTTACTTGGTGCTTTCCTAAAATCATAAGGAGCCCCTCTTAATGATACATTTCTTACATATCCCATTTTGACAAGAGCATCACCTATTGTATTAAAATATGCTCCTTCACTATCTCGTGATGGGTCTAGCCACTCTACCGTCTCTGGGTTTCCCCATCCTGCAACCCTTATTTCAACACCATTGGTATTTCTAGTGGTTCTAGTAACATTGTCATACTCCAGTCTTGTGTTATCAACCCAGCAATCAATCACAAATGGCACCAAAAGCTCCAAATTTAACCAAATGTTAAAGAAATCACTAGAGGTTTTGGCGCATATATAATGCACCACACTAGTTTTGTTCAGCTTTGCTTCAAGTTGACTTCCTCCATCACCAGGTACTATAACACATGGTAATTTTTTTATAACCAACTACATATAAATATAAATAAAATGAGAACATGATCAATTTAGTTGAAGTCAATTAAATAAGCATTATTAAGGATAATTCCATTATACTTGATTACCACATGAGAAGCAACAGCCTAAAAAAAAGAATCATCAAAATCGGTTCACCTAGAAAAAAGTTCTGAGGTGACACATTTAAAAAATTACAGTCAAATTGAGTACCTCCTCCTTTTTGAAGTTGGTTAAAATATAGACATTTATTATAAAGTTACTACCTAATTATAATTATGCTTAATTTAATGATTATTTCTATTTTAAGTGATTTTGTACTTATCAAATTTAGTAAGTGATTAATTTTGAGATGACTGCCTCGTTGGTCTAGTGCGACTGCTGATCATGAGGTCCTGGGTTTGAACCCGGGTCGGGCCAAACAATTAATAATTGAGTTTTTCTGTTAAGAAATTCTCAGTAGCTGCCTGGAGTCAGGAAGTTGGCGGTGTCTCACTCCGTGCCTCGGAAAGCACGTAAAGCCATTGGTCCTGCGCCTGATCTCTCTCCAGTCGTGTCGGTTTATCCCTTCGGATTATGAGAGTGAGGGAATAGAGAGTGCACCTGTGCTGCTGCCGTGGCCGAAATTCGGTCTGGAGGAGATTATTATTATTATTATTAATTTTGAGCTAATTATATAATATGTTAATAGATGCCCGACGCTCAAGACAGTGCTTTGTTTGCTTGTTCACTCTTGCCTCATTCATTCTTTCCACATGACCAAACCACTGAAGCATTCCTTTCTTAATCGTGGTCACAACATCATCTTGCAAATCACACTCTTCTCTTATCACACAATTTCTCACCATGTCACTCAGATGCAGCCCTAACATTAGGGTTTAAGTCCTGGGACATCTCGTGTCTCGAAATCCCGGGACTTTTCGTAATTTTAGTTGTCTCGAGTCCTGGGACTTTCGGCTCGAGACGAAACAAGATTGTCGAAAATGTTATGTTATCATTTCTATTTTCAAAAAAATTGAAGGAGCCTAGCGCCATCTGTTAGTTAAAATTCAAAAAGAGTTTCAGTTGTTTGAAGCAACCGAAAAGCGTACAGAAAGTTTGGAACTACTGTATACAAAATACTGTAAGCCTTAAACAGAATTAAACCGACATCTGTTGAAAACAAAGGTGTGTGTTCTCCTTGTCCGGTGGCATTATTACAAAAATCAGAAACAAATTGTCGAACAAAGCTGTTGACGCTCCGATTTTTTTAATAGACTATTTTATTAAATTAGCAAAGAAGTCTAATTAATGTGTTAGTTGATTATTTGAAAGTCTGATTTATAAGTCTGTTTTATTATTTTTATTTAGATTATTTAATTATGAAACAAATCTGAATTAACAAAAAAATATGACCAATGATTCTAGAATTACTAGATAATAGTAAAGTTATTAAGAATTAGTATGATTTTTAACTAGGTTCATTTTATAACTATAAGATTTAACTGCTTAAAAGTGAATACGTGTCTGATTAAAAGAAATGAACAATGCAAATATTAGGACTGAAATAACCAGACCCAGCGCTCAACCCAAACGAGTTCAGTGTTTGCCATAACACATCCCTGTCCACTCTGTCACCACAGGAAATAAAAAACATCACATAACAACACAGAAAATATTTAAAACAAAACCCCTTCTACTCAGTGGAGGAGTATTTAGATAACAAAAAATAACACTTATGTATTTGTATATTTATCTAGCTTCTAAGTATATATTATATTTTATGTATATAAGCCTTCGATAAATAAATAGATTGAAGATATAAGCAGTGTCCTCGTCAAATTTGCAGTGCCTGATAAGGGCCTCTAAGGTGTAAGCACATTTTTAATTTAAGACCTTTTAAGACGAGTTATGTACACTTGGACATCAAATAAATGATTTGATTTAACCCAAAAGACCCTCCACGAAACTAAATTTTTCTAATATTTTTCTAAACTATTCAGACTAACTTAATAATAAGATATATTTATATACTCACTAAGAATAACCGGCGATAGCCCTAGGGAATTCTTCGCCAAAAAGCTAAATATTAACCCAAGTGACAGAATTAATTTCATACTTTATGAGTGAAACCGTGTCTGGACCTTTTAAGATTTATTTAGAAATCCAGCTCACTTTTCTTTACTACGTAATGTTATTAAAGCACAAATACAACAGACTGAACTGAAAGGAACTCGATTCAACTCAATTCAACTGCTATGACGTTAATAAATATCATGCGATATGACCTTACGTCGAGGAAGAATAATACGACAATAGTAGTTTGCTAGTTTGTTTTGTTTACGTAAATAATTTGTTTTTTAATAATTATCAGTAACACAACGACTATAGAGACCACAGAGACAGAGTACTTTTTAATCACAGAAGATTATTGTTTTATTACCTAGTTTCGACTGATATGGACTGATAATTATACAATGTACGTTCCGTTTCGTTTTTAAATTTTAAACCTGACATTTTTATTAAGTTGTAGCATAATGGCAATAACTTGAGTGTTTTGATTGAAACATTGATTAAAAAACCGTGAACTATGTAATTTATACCCATCAAAAAGCAATAAAAACATTGAAAATTTTTAACAATTCTATTTATTGCTTTCTTATTACTGGAATCACACTAGAACGGAACGAAAATTCTATTGACGTTTTTGTTCAGAAATATACAAATGACCGACGTTCTTTAACAGGCGCGCAACCACTTTTCAGGTATACAAAGAGTACTCTGTGCAACGACTGATAAAAAAAGTTTGTTTTGGTTTTTTATATTCCTTGGCGCTATGGAGAGATTTACCCTCCATCGTAGACAGAGAAACTGAAGATTCTCTGTTTACGCCCTCCATACTGGCACGTAAAAACGCGCAGTCAACAGATTAATAGATATGTAGCACAGCTTTCAGTTTTCAGTATAATATATAAAGGTACTCTGTGGGCCTGGCGCAGGGCGCAGTCGCGCATTCGCGCCTAATTAAAAATATGGGAATGCAGTGAATAGTGAACTTTCATTTTATACTTTAATATTTTGACATATTTTGTAAAATTTTTAGTAGATTTGTGATACAATAATTCAGTAAAATGTTAGAAAAAATAAAACATATGGGAACAAAAACAAGCGGTATTCGCTTATTTGTTAGAAATTGAAATGTTTCTGCAGGTACAAGACGGCAATAAAATCAATAAAAATTAAACAGAAGTTAGTGACTTTAGTTTCTTTGTTTACTTGCAGGGTCGAGTTATAATTGTTTGGTTGTCTTGGCTTGTTGGTGGCATTTGTGGCGTTGCTATTTTGTTAATAATTATATGTTACTGCCGCCTCATGCCGCGTCATCAGAAATCATTAGGTAAGAATTTTTTTGGTATTATTAATAATTTATTTTAAATATTACGTTGATGGTAAACAATTATATCTACTTTTATGTATATTTTAGACGAACAATATCTCAAAAACACCTACACAATAAAGGAGGACCATGGATATCCTCATCAAGATTATAATAGAGCAAAACATGCAGAGGTATGTACTTAATTCATACATTTCTTTCACGAACACCGCTCGTATACGGAGAGCCGTAGTGGCTCAGGGGCCAAGTGCTCACTGTAAATTTCACAGTATGCGAGCACCCGGGTTCGATCCCCAGCCGGCATCGATGAAATTGTTAGTTTCAGTTTTAACCCCATGCGGATTTACCACGTGCTGAGGTGGGATTAATGCATCTGAGAAATAAGAAAAAAAGTATAAGTATATATTTCGAAGACATGAGAAGTTCGTCAACACTCATTAGGGCAGCGCGGCAAACATTTCCTTGCCTTAAAACCATCTCTGAAATGATAGTAGGCCTGTGGCCATGCCCAGCATTGGGACGTATTAAGGCTGTAACTTTAACACGGCTTGCGTACATATATGATCTTGCGTACAGACAATGACCCATATCATTCCATTCACTTAATTACATTTATAGCAATTCAGCTCATCTAATTTATTATTTCATTATACCATTGCTTTTACGTACATAGCTCGCATACGTATTATTATAATTCCTATAAATATATATTCCTATAAAATTCTTAAGTAATGCTCATTTCCCTCATTAACAATGTATTAAAACTGATTAGGTATTTTATCGCACCCGAACAACCTTAATAAATTAATCGTTTATTAGGTTTTCCAAACTCCTAGCTGATCAGATTGATTGTACGTGGATATGCTAACCTCCGATAATTTATCTACCTATCACCCTTTTACCTGTATATTATTTCTATCCATATTTTTCATTCATTATTACGTATCGTAACTTAGTCATAAACTTTACTCACGTCATTTACAAGAATATTATATTCTAACATTTTTTTTTTTCAAGAATTGGGTCTCAATTTAATCATACATAGTTATTAAATTATCAATCAAATCTACTGTAATGTGGGGCGCAAAGCAAGAAATTACTCACTGATGCAGTTTAACAATTCCTTTATTGAATTGAAGGAGACTTTTAAATAGTAATTATGACGCAGGTACATAGATATGTGTTAAAGTTCGTGTTGCGTGGTTCCAGGTAGAGACACGTGAATGGTGTCTTCTTCTATAAATATATGATATTAATGAAAGAAGTAGATATTATTTCTCCATTTCATGAAGACACGTGTTTTCCATATAAGGAGGATATCATGTAATATTTTAGTTATATTGTCTCGTCATGTAGTACCTGCACTACACTACTAACTACTGCCACCAACCAAGTAAATAAACTGTTAAACGTCTCTTATTTTTTTTTCCTAAACAATAATTTAATACTCCCTATCTCTTCAAGCGCAAGTCCATTTTTCTTTTTTACGCGTCAACCGTCAGGGCCTATACGGAAAGTCGCCCGATTCTGGCAAGCGCTAATGTAAGCAATTATGATATATATATATATATATATATATGGCCGAAAATGATCCGGTCTTGAGATATATGGATTTTAAAGATTTTTCAATAATCACCCAGAATTTCGTATTCAAATAAATAAAAATAAAACCTTTTTTGTATGCTTTCTTTTAAGTTTATTTACTTTCGTGAAGCTTCAACAAAGCGAATACAATCATAAAATGTACGAAAAGTATTTCCAAAAAAATAACGGGTCTCTGTCTACGATACTTATATTTTTTTTTTTAAAAATAATGATTCGGAATGTGTCCCGACGGAAGTGCATATTATGCCTGTCGGCCAATATTGATTGACAGAACGCTTAAAGGTTATTCTAAACTTTACTCTAATATATATTGTCATTGGGTCTACACTACACTACATAGGTATTTTTTCAAATTTTCACGACTCTGCTACTTGAAGTATGAAATTGGAAGTCTCATGACTGACACAACCTACAGACTCTAAAAATGAAAAACTGCGTTTGTCAACCGTCGACCTGCTTGCCAAGCGTGGCAACTATGGCAAATATAGGAGATATTATGAGGTAATCCACGGGGGAGGCTTTATGTTCAACTATAGAATACTATAATACATATACATAATAGAACGGGGGAGTGGGTGGCGCCCGCGTAGCCACTAAAATGTCACTAACACGCCAATTCACACGTTATATCAACACGAGATGTGTTTAGTATATAATCAAAGGTTTTGACGTTACAATCGTTTCCAAATTTCGTATGCAAATTATTTAAAAAATGCCAAATTGCACCCTATTTACAAATATATATGTATTAAAATTTAAACGATTTTTTTAATGATGATCTTGAACATCAATCAAAATTCTAAAATGTGTATATTTATTCAGTCTGTCAACACAGCAATTCGGGTTTGGGGACGCCAAACCTCGTACAAAATAAAGTTGACAGCCATTCTATTGGGTATTAAAGTATTCTATATGTTCAACATTGGATTTTAATAGACTGTGACGGTAAATGTAACGGTAACTATAATGTACTTACGTAATAAACGGTTAAAGCATTGAGTTATATAAATCAATGGGTTAAAGTAACAACAAGTGTGCTTACTTTATACGCCATTCACAGTTACGTACTATCGTCTTAAACGATCGTTAATAATATACTAATACCAATTTAACTTAAAAAAGAAGCTGTACAATGCGATTCAAATAAAATAGGAGCGTTAATTATCTCGAATGACAGCGATTTGTCCACTATCACTGGAAAAGTTAACTTATTTAATTGAGCCTTAGTATTTTCGAACATTTTGAAGTTATTAGTTTTAAAAATAATTCAAAACTGTTTTTTTTTCTATTTTCACTGTCGGCAACATTTCGCATAAAAGTTTTTTTTTTCATAGTATAGGATGACAAACGAACACACAGCCCACTGGATATACAGGATACTGTAGCTCTTAGACATCTAAATTTATCTCCAATAAAGAATCAAAATGCAGATGCGTTGTCACCCCCGAGGACTGAGATGGAATGCCTCGTTTCCAGTAAAATGGGTTGACCCATTCGTGTTACAATAATAATATATTTAGCTGCAGCATAGCTCTAGCATTACTAATAAAAAAATATTTCTTTGGTTTTGTTTCTTTTGTATTGGTTTATAAAATACTATTATTTAAAAATATCTTTTTTCTCACCTTTCCTTTCCTTTAAGATAGGACTGACCTGGAGCCATTTTGGTATATGGTTCCACGTCCAGGTCAGCCCTATCTTTATTTGAATCACATTATTTTAAGTCACAAATGGGGCCCGTAAAGCTATATTTTTATGGTCTTGTACTGTAGGTGCAAGTACAGAGACATAGTCGACCGGCGAGTTACGCCGGCGACGCGGAGTGGCGGCGGCTTAGAGAATCGCAGTCACGGCCGCCCGCGCACTGCTACGTGAACCGCGTGGCCGACGCGCACGAGCACACCGCGCAGTACGCCTCCAGCAGCAGTGAGTAGCGACGCAATGCTGTCGTGCAGCACATTGCAGTGTAATGCAGTACCAGTAGCAGTGCAGTGACGGACAGTCTCAACAGAATCTAGACATCTGCGCAGGACAGAATTATAGTGCCCGAGCGAGTATAAATGCACTCTCTATTCTCTCACTCTCATAGTCCGATGTAATGGTAATCCGACGCGA